ACTACATATTAAATAATAGTATTGTATCAAATTGTATTGAATCATATTTAAGCAAAGTTAAAAAAAATTTTGGTGTGATAATTCTTTTAAGGTTACATAGGAAAACATCTTTATTCTTTAACAGATAAACACTAAAGTATTTAGGATAAAGTGTCAGTAATGTCTGCAACTTACTCTTAAATGGTTTATCAAAAAATTATATATATATAATTTTATGCATAAAAACATAATATATAATCTATATATTTTCAAAAATAAAAAATTGGAGAAAATAAATTATAAATGCCGATCAAATGCCTAGAAAAATTAATATAAAAAGACCCCCCATACCTAGACATTTAGGAATCATTTCAGAATTTAAAAGTTTAAAGGTAACATCCTAAAAATTTTTCAGAGAGCTATAAACAGGCTACATTCAAAACATCCTCAGGTATAGACAGACAATAAGAGAACAATGTCATTCAAGTTCTTGGAGAAACTTATTTTGAACATAGATTTCTATACCCCACCAATGAGAATCTAAGTGTGAGCACGAAGAGAGAGAGAGACAGAGGGAGAGAAGAGAAAATGTATTTTCAGTCATGTAAAGACTAAGAACGTTTGCATTCCACCGAGTTCCTCTGAAATAATTACTCAAAGATATGCTCCCAAAAATGAAAACTGAATCCAAGCATGAGGAAGATGTATATGAAATCCAAGATACAGTGATATGCAAAGAAATCTGGAACCGTAAATAAACAGCATTAGGGATATGAGACAGTTACAAGAGAAAACCATATCCAACTTTAAACTATTAAAAATATATTTAGTGTTTCCACCAGTTTAAATTGCTTGTTTTAAAAAAATGTATTTTGTGAGTGGTTTTATAGGACAAATGAATTATCAAAATTAACTCAAAAAGAACAAATGTTTTAAATAAACCATTAAACCTAGACAATACTGAAAAGTAATCAATGATTCATCCTTATTAAAGGTCCAAGTCCCAGATGGCAGTAATTTATATTTTCACTTGCAGTGGATTCAAAATTTCTGAAAAAGAACAATGAAGGAAAACATTCCCTACCAAATATTAAAACCATAATAATTAAAATATCATGGAATTGGCACAGGATAAACAAATAAATAAATATAAAATAGAATAGTATGTCCAGAAATAGACCCACATTAATATGAGAACTTAATATATTAGAAAGAGCAGTGAAGTCAACAGAAAAGTCAATAAATGTTGTTGGGGCAATTGGCTTTTCATTTGAGCTAAAAATTTAGATTCTTATATCACACCATATGCAAAATTAAATTACAAATGAACTATAAAACTGATCATTTCAAAACTGCATATTAGATAAAAACATAGGGAAGACATAAAGCCAAGAGACATAAAAGAAAATATGAACAGCTTTGACTATACAAATATTAACTTGCGACGAAATACATTATAAACAAAATTAAAAGACATATAATAGACTAAGAGATATAAGCAGTATTATAACAAATGATCTGTATCCCTTATATAGAGATAACCCCTACAAATCAATAAGAAAGACAACTCATTGTTTAAATGAGGAAATGAGATGAATAGGAAATGTAAAGAAGAAACACAAGTGGCCAATTAACATATGAAAACAAATTTAATCTCACTAGTAATAACGGAAATAAAAATAAGAGTGCAATGAGATTCTACTTATCCCTATTAGATTAGCAAAAATTAAATGTTGATAATATGAAGCACAGGCAAATGTGTGGGGAAATGCATCCTCTGGTTTACTCCTGGTGGAAGTGAAGTGTAAATTAGCACAGCCTTTTCAGAGGCCAATTTGGCAATACATATTAAAATATAAAATGTGGATACATACACTTTGTCCCAGTATTCTGTCTCAAATGATCTGCCCTATACAAATATTGGCACATTGTAGAAAAAAGAGAACAATTACGATCTGAATTCCTTACTATGAAATACTACCCATCTATTAGAGAGCATTCCATAAATCAAAATGTACTAACATGAAAACATCCCTAAGCTATACTAAAGTAGCAAAGCAAGTTGTATAACAACATACATAGTATGATTACTTTTTTTAATTCTCTATATCTATTGAGATCCTTCTATGTGTAAGGCTCAGTCCTGGTCCTTGGTACCGGGGCTTATAGAATTGAAGAAAACAGGTCAATTTCCTGGCCTTATGAAGTTTACATACATAGTTTGGAGAGGAGAGATGAGGGTGGGCCTGGGGAGGGCAAACAGTAAACCAGTAAGCAAATACATAAGCAAGATCATTTCCGATAGTGAACAGTTCTAGGAAGGCAATAAATATGAAACGTGATGGGAAGGGAAGCCTAGCACAAAATCAGTGCTATCAATAAGTGAGAGCAATTAGGATCCACTTGCAGAGTAAACTTGGCACCACATAGGTTCTGGAATTGAAAACCCTTGAAATTCCCCCTGAAATTCTTACTGATCTTTTCTGTCTTTTAAAACATTTCAACTAGAGAAGATACAACATCAAATTTTTGCAGAGATTTTGTGAATTGACAGAAAGCCCTAAACTGAGGTCCAACATTCCAGTTTTCATTCTGGTTCAGCCACATTAGCAGAGTTAAATCTAGAAGTCTCTGAGAATAAGGAGAAGGAGGCTATTACCTGCCATTAAAAGCCCATAGGGGTGTTTCAGGAATATCTTTGAAAAGATATTTTACTTTGAAAGTTATGTGTCTTATATAAGTAGTAGAATACTCCCAGGCAGTAAGTGTAATCAAAGGTGTTATCCACTGGGTGCTATTTATGCCTTTGCCTGTAAAAGGTGTAATATGAGGGAGGTGGAGAGAGGACTCCAAGAAGGAACATCCCATTTCCTTGTGTCTCCCCTGTCCACATTGGAATAAAAAGTTCTATAATCCTGACCACAGGACAGGGGATGCTATGGCCCCATAGCCAGGCAAAGCCCATAAACTAGAGAATTCCATATTCCATCCATGTGGGAATGTTCTTCCCCTCCTCTTCACTGCCTAAACCATACTCCATTCGCAAGGCATTTCCAACCCAGGGTAGTGTATCAGGAGCCATGTATGCTTTCAGGTGGCCCTATCCTTCAGAGTTTTGGAAATCAAAGGACCATTTTTGGGGGGACCCCCTTTAGCCCCTCGGCTAGCTCTCAGCCACCTTGCTCAGATTCACACCATAAGGCTGACCCTGCCCAGAAGTGGGTGCCAATGGACTGATTGCATTTGCTGCACTCTCCCAGGAGGCGAAACGCAAATGCTTTTAAGAGGTCAGTTCCCTCCAACTGTGAAATGGTAATGTGCTAAATTATGTGCTTAATTAATTTCCACCCCACAGCATACCATAAAATTGAAAAAACAATTCCTCAAGCAAGTTCCATCACCTAGGATCAATGTGCATAAAGAACACAGAAAAGGATCAAATTTTCTCATCAGTAAACTTGTGTTTGTGCTTTGGCTGAATGTTTAGAGGTCCATTTCTACTCTAGTTTGATAAAAGGTGTACAGTTCCCAATTAATTGTTTTGTTCTTTCTCTTTGTGTTGCTACCATATGGGTTAGAAACTGCAGGGATGAGATTTTTGGTAGTTCCCTACAGATCATGAATCCAAGGAAAAAGATTCTTGTTAGATTTTACCATGGACAGCCATCTTCTTCACAAGTTTGTATGTTTTATTTTTTGTCGATTTGTTTTCTTGTTAATGCAAAACAATCACACCAGGATTAGGGAAACTAAGTTAAGTGGTAAGGTGGTATAGCTGCTACCTCGTGAATATTCAATAATATGGGCTGTCACTTAACAACTAGTCTAGAGCCATATCTACATCATAAAAATAAAACTGGATGAAAGAGTAAAAAATGCAATATAGCTATCCTCTTCTTCCAGACTGCATAGTTCTATACCACAGCTTTGTAATTATTTGCGTAATTTTTTTTATTGTCTATCTCCAGCACTTTAAGCTCCATGAGACCAAGATTGCATCTTTCCTTCCCCTCTATGTCTCTAGCATGAAGCCCAGTGCTTGGTACTTAGCTGATACTCAAGAAATATTTGTAAGTGAGTGAATGAATGAGAGAGTGAATGAACAAATGACAAAGCCAAAAAACACAGTTCTCAGGCTTTGTTAGCCATTCCCATGGTACTAGGATACCTCCTTATGGGTACACAGATTTTCAACACAGAATAAAAGACATTAACGGAGTTTACATAGGTCATGGACCATAACCTCCCGCTTCATTTCATTGAAATTTATGCCTGAACCAACTTGGAGATTTCTTTCAGAACATACTGATTCATTCACTTGAAATCAGTCATAGTAAACACAAGTCTTAGTGGGCTGGCAGTGCATTGCTGTGGAGGGCTGCCCGGTACTAGGCCTTTGTGCCACACTTGAGTCAATGGCACTTACGGTCTCAGCAAAGTAAAGCTAGATCTTAACACCATGCTCTCTCCTCACAAAAGGATGCGCTAAAGGAGGTCGCAGAGCCAAGGAATTAGAAGGCAGCTATACAATCTCTGCTGCAGGCTGAGAGAGCCAGGGTCTAGAATCAAAGAGAACAGCAGGAGCTCCCATTCTTCCTGCTGGGTGTCACCTCCTCCTTTTACCCGCCTTTGCATCTAAGAACCAAACAACAGCATGGTTTCACAGGCTAAATCCCCGCCTCCCAAGCTAACTTGATCTAACTCACTAAGAATGGGTTACAAAGCATCAATACTCCATCAAAGACAGGGCCTTTAATTTCATTTTGATGTTTAGGTTGCACTGGTCTCAAGCTATCATTTCCCAGAGGGGTGGGAAAACATGCTACACAGAAACACACACACGATTTATACCTATAAATAGCACATTACATATATAACTATTTTATTGCTCAGAGAGCTATTAGGGTTAATGGAGCATTTGACTCAAAGCATAGCCAACCTTTCCAGCGACATCCTGGCTATAAAATTTGCATTTATGATTTCTGTTCCCCTTCTCTTTACCAACATCCCCTCTCCCTTAGGAAAGGAACCTGGTGGGGGAACCAAGAGTTTGGATTGCAAAATTGAGGAGAGTGCTGAAACACCTGCCCTAGAGGACTCCTCGTCATCCCCCCTAGATAGTCAGCAACATTCCTGGCAGGTTTCCACAGACATCGAGAACACTGAAAGGTAAGTGGGAAGTTACCCTGAATAGACTGCCAATCCTCCTCCACTTAATGCTCTTCGGGGCCACGGAGAGTCGAGGTTTTCTATTTCAGTTTCAGAAACAGAGCTCCTTTTGGTCTGCCAGAGAAGCATAGTGCTGGCAGGGACCTTAGAGACTGCCTCAGTTGCAGATAAGAAAACTGAGATGAGAGAGGGGGAACAGTAGCAGCACCAACGGTAGGCGCAGGCTCCCAGGCCTCTGCTTATCCCACTCCAACACATTAAGTCTCCATGGAAAATGAGAACAGTGGGAGAGAGTTGGATTTACATATTGTCAGAGTTCACCCACTGGGCTGGTTCCCAAAATTTCCATTTGTTTAAGGGAGAAGAATCCAAAATCACGCAGATGTCTCCAGTCGATTCAGGTGTAAGGAATGCAAGGAAAGGTGTAAGTCGATTTCAGGTGTGAGGAATGGCCTGCTTAGCTGCCGTTTGGGGGCTGAGCATTCTGTCCAGTTGACACAGGGCTTTTCAGAGTCCCCTTCTCTTTCTCTCCAGAATGCAGCTGATGGCCCCTTAGTGGTCAAAGCAAGTTAATGCATTGTCTTAACAACTTCGGTAGCTTCCTTCGAGAGAGGGAGTTTCTTTCTTGGGGAAAAGAGATTCTACAGTGATTCTATTTTATTTGAGAAAAAGGAATAATAATAATAATATTATAATAAATGCCATGTCCCATCGAGATGCCATTCTGTGAGGCAGAAAGATGAGACCCTTGTTTATTGGCCTTCACATTTATCTGTGCCCTTTGCTACTAATGTCCCCAGAGCACGCACTAAGTGGCTGAATGACTACTGGGCAATTCTACCAGCTGTTCTATGTGTGTGAGGTTGAGTCATTGACAAGATAATGAACATTTTATTTTTTTATTTTTAGAAATGTAACACACAATGGCATTTATAACCATTGTAGTTCTACTTTCAGATTGTAATATAATTCTAAAGCTAATTACCAAATTTCTGTGTTTATAGAAAATTGGAGCATGTGGTAATTATGTGCTATTAATAAAACTTGGATTTTGTATAGGCTTGGATATCCAACAATTCAAACAATAAAGCTGTTTGGCACAGTTTGTTAGAACTAAAGACAAATGATGAGGGGATGATTTATCTTAATTTATAAAATAGAAAATTCTTTGCTCTGCTCCCAGGAAAAAAATTATCTGCCGAAATGCCACGATCAGGGCATAAACCATCAGCAAAGCCACTTTCCTTTCCAGACACCTTGTGCAGCAGCTCTATCCAAGCCTTGTAAGCTTGTAAGAAAGCAAGCTATCAAGGGCAATAAGAACAGGACAGTACGGCCCACAGTGTTGGCGTGGTTTCAGTTCAAACTGAAAGCCCAGATTCTGGTCAAAGGAGATGGGAAACACAAGGGCAGTAGGCACAGTAGACTGGTCCAGGATGTAGCTGCCTCAGTTCTCCCTGGCTCTCTGCCCTAAGAGATCATGCATGGGACTCAAACTGGGTTGCACAGTTAAGTCACCAGGAGGGCTTAAAAACATGGATGCCTGGACCACACCGTAAGCCACCCAACTCAGGCTGTCTTGGGGTGGGACCTGGGCATAAGATGCTTCTCCTGGGCAGCAGCCAAGGTGGAGAACTGGTGCTTTACCAAGGATACCTGCCTCAGTCGCACATGTTGCATTCCTAGCCCTTGCCCGCCCATCCCCCCTGCTCTTGAGATCTTACATGAAAACAGATGGGGGGCCCTGCCTTTCTCCCCCTTCCCCCTCTCACCTTATCAGTGTGCAGTGCCCACAGAGGCACCCTCACACCTCACACCTGTGAGAAAGTATTCGGAATGTTTTTACAGGCATATTTCTACTGATCTGCAAGGCCGCTTTCCCTTCCTTTTGCAGTCAGGTATTCCTGAGACTTGAGTTCCCTTTCACTTATCAGTCAGTACTCAAGCAGGAAGCCGCGAGGGCTTCTGGCCTACCCTAAGACAGTAATCCTCAAACAGTGCTCAACAGAACAGTGGTGGTTTGTGAAATGCACTGAGGGGTTTCATCCCTAACATTAAATAGTGACTCTTTTTTTTCAAATGCCAGAAGGAAAATAAGTTGGTAGATAGAATTTCTTCAACTTTAGGATGATCATCCCCCTAAAACTTTCTTAAACCTGTGGTGCCCGCTAATCTACGTTAACTAAAAGATGTATATGGTTTTTTTGCATCAAATTATATTTTTTTTGCTGTTTTAAATGAAATCTACCACTAGTCCTGGGGTTTCAAGAGCACTGATTCCAGTGCACAACCACCTGGATGTGTGTGGGAACCACTGTCCAGAGGACTTGAAAAAGTCAGCTCTCTTCCTACCCTAGACTAGATGCCTCCTGAGCTGGCTTCCTGTTCTACATTTCTGGGGTTTTAGGATCCTGTGTGCTCTGAGATGAAGGAGGACATTGGCTGTGTGCGGTGGCCTTGCATGCTGTGCCCTGGGCAGCCAGGAAGCTTTTCTGGACAAGCCAGTGGTTAGAGGGAGGCCCAGCTGTCCTCAGGTGGTTTTCCCTCTCATTTGTTACTCTCCCATTATTCCCAGTCAATGTAGTTAAGTGTTGGCTCTTGTGGATGCTTAACTCCTGTGTTATGCTGAATTCCAATCACGAGGAGAGACTTTTAAAACCAAGCAGACAACAGTGAGTGCACCTGCACAGCCACCACAGCCAGCTGACCAGGAAGCCTTTGCAGCACCACTTCCTCGGCTTTGCCCCAGGGAGCCCGGTGTTCCAGTTGTGTGTCTTTGGCCTCTCCTTGTAAACCTGCAGTGCTGTCCTCATTACCAAAGGCTCTTCTGATCTCAGCCGGGTCCGACTGGAGGCGGGGATGAGGGCTCCTGCAGGAGAGATGCCTGGTGGAAACGTTTGGCAGAGTATTTCTCAGGGCCAACCCATCTCACATTTTCTTCTCGTAAAAGCAAAATAAATTCAATATTTGCCTACTGGAAACAAGAGCTAGGACAATTAGGCACAGACTCCCATCCTTCAGTTGTCTCATAGAGCAGACTGTCTGAGATTTCATTTTGAAAATTTACAGCTGATTCTTCTTTTTATTAATTTTACAGAGACATGCGAGAAATGAAAAACCTTTTAAGCAAACTCAGGGAAACTATGCCTTTACCATTGAAAAATCAAGGTGAGTCTTGTCATTTTCTCTTTGAGGCAGAGGATGTTTTTAATTTGATAACCTTGGGACTTGTTTCTTGAAAAATTAAAGCAAGTGTTTTATGCAAGCAATAGAAGGCATTGAGCATACTTGAGACTGGAGTCTCTTGGGTACCCGGTTTTGCTCTGAAGGAGGCCAAGATACACTTTGATGTCCATGCAGACTCATCTTTGATTGGCTGTGTCACACAGTGAACACGGTGACAGGCATGGCAAACACAGAAGGACTGAACACTAGACTCTTTCCTTCAAGACATGTACAGCCTAGTGGAGGAGACTTAAGAACACTTCCAAAGGAAGATCCCTGTCTTCTAGGTGTTTAATTAACTTAAAAAAATAGTAATAAGTAACATATATTGAGAACTTACAGTATGCCACCATCCTAAATACTTTATATTAACTGTATTAACTTATTTATTTCTAACAACTTTGAGAGAAATGCTACTAGTGTTTCACAATTTATAGAAAACTTGGCCCAGGTCACCCAGTCTGTAAGTAGAAAAACTGGGATGTGAACTCAGGCAGTCCATCTACAGACTGATCCTATTCTGTAGGAATGGAAAGGGGGTATTCACTGGAGTGAGGGAAGGACTTTTGTATGCTTTTATTAACTATTGTCCCCAGTATCTAGAGCCTGGCACATGGTAGAATAACACCTGGCACAAACAATAAATGTTAGTCAAATCTGCACCTACATTTGCAGTGCCAGGGACTGACAATACACACAAAGTACTAAAATATCAGCACTGTCATTAAGCATGCATGGCTCGAGCAGCCATAGGTGAAGTATCAGCTTCAGAGAGGGCTATATGGAGGTAGGGAAAGGGTTTTTGGATGCAAGAAAGAAACTCCTCTTGTTCCCGCTAAGCAAAGCCTAGGCAGGAGGGAAGGGTGCTGCTTGCCTCAGAGTGAGGAGGAGGAGGAGGAGGAGGAAAATTTGGCAGCAGAGCTGGAGTGCCTCTTGGCTCCAGGAGCAGCTCAGCAGAAGGTGGAGAGGTGGAAGTGAGAACACCAGGCAAGGCTGAGGGGTAGCGTGGCCTGAGCTGCACAGGGACGGGGGTCAGAGGCAGGAACTGCAGCACATCAGGTAACTCAAAACACCCCGAAGGGCCTGCTCTCCAAGGCCAATTGGCTTGAGCCATGGGTGAAGTGTTTTGTGGCATTTTAAGAACGTAGACAACATGTTGTAGCGATGAGAGATTGCTCTGACTACGACATGGAAGATTGTTGCTAGAAATAAGCATGGTGTTTAGGACCAAGGGCTTTGGATTGAGACTAGCCTTAGTTTCAAATGCTGGCTCTGCCCCTTACCAGCTGGAATAATTTGTTTAACTTCTGGAAATTTCAGTTTTCTCATCCCTGAAAAGGGGATAATAGTATCACCTACTTCAAAGGGTTGTTGTGAGGATTAAATGAAACAATGCATCATATGCCTACTAGCAACCTTACAGAAAGCAAACACTTGACAAATACTTTATGGTTATTATTGTTATTATTTAGTGACCTACTCAACTTTGCTCAGGAGAACCCCAAATCAACATCAAATAGAACAGTCCTGTCCCCACTCACTCTGCAACAGACTATATGTAGTGTTCAGATGAGGTTGATCTTGAGCCTACAGTTCAGAGCACTGGCCCCTGGGCCTTTAGATTGGGAGCTCATGACTGAGGCTGTCCTCAGGGTCATATTAGGTTTGGCAATTGTCCCTCATCAGCACCTGGGCCTCTCACTCTGCCTCACATTCAGCTGCCCAGGAGAATGGCTGTCCAGGGTCCCCAGTCTGAACTTCATGGATGCCATGTAACCTATATTTTAAATCAAACCATCCTAAACATTCCCTCCACAATTAGTGATAATTCATACAGCAGTTTTTAAATTGTGCATTAATGAAAAAACAAATTTTATTTACTTTGGTCTTTTTTATCATAAAAAGTACAATATAGATTTTTATATAACTGTTGCTTTTATAAAAAGAATAAAATAGGGTAGTAATTACATTTTTAAAATATAAGAGGAATAATAAAAGGTTGATGCTGTGACTGAAAATATGAGTGAAAAGGGCATATTCATCCAAATAAATGATACCCAGGACTTGAACCCTGGATCCGTCTGAAGAATAGAAAGGACAAAGCTAGGAAGGAGGTGAAGGACTTATTCAGAAGGAAGTAGTGCAGTAGGATTTTAATAATTGAAAAACTGAGGTGAAGGATTGTGGGAAATTTGGATTTCTTCACTGGAGGGAGAAATGGGAATGCTTAGCATGTGATGGACGACGTATCTGTTCTCTAGGTGTTTCATACGTACTCACAGCCTGCTGTCGCTGTGAGCTACCCAGAGCGGTGCGTGAGTCTGGACTAGAGAGTCCAGAGAGGGCCTGAGGAAAGCAGGTCCCTTGGAGTCGCTCAGGAAACATGATTCGACAAATGCATATGGCACCGTTTTAATGAACAAATCATCCAGGTTCTGCATATACCCAGATAGACCACAGAGGCTTCCCTAAGTCGTTCCTGGAATTCCTTTCAGGCAATTTGTTTACTCTACAGGTCTAAATTTAAATGTGCAGGACATGATGTGGGGTAAAATGTGGAAAAAATTATTCCAGTTCTTTTCTGTAGGCCCTTATTGTCAATCATGACTCTAACTGGACGAAAACCATTATAGAAAGCCATCTGTTTTCTTTCTGGCTTCTTATTTGCTTTCTCTTTTTATTCCATTTACATGGATGTTTGAAACAGAGAAGAAAGGGAAAAGATACCACTCCTGGTCTCCATTTTTCCTACCTCAACCCCTCATGTGAAAATCCTGCCAGCTCAGGTTGTCCTGTTCTCCAGGCTCCATCTTAGTCCTCGACTCAAACTGTTCTGGGTTTATTTCAGCATTTAAAGGTTTAATCGTATCTCCCCCACTTCCTACTGCAATGAAAACTTGACTCAAAACAGTTCACTTTAAATCAACTTCCAGTGGAGAAGAAAGGAAGGTGGCCATGGGCAGAAATTTTAATGGTTATTGATTATGCCTTCATTTTAGACAGGGCCCTTCCTTTCCCACCCTTCCAGTTTGAGAGTGGAGGCAAAGAGACTGGCACAAAACAGCAGGCCACACGTGTGCCACTGAGTTCCATGGCTGGCTCCAGACAATGGCCAGGTCTCCTGGCTCTCAGCCCGCTGTTGCTTCCACCGTGTCAGTGCCCCTCCTGTCCTACATTCTGGGTCACTGGCAGAGCTGTAAGGAGTTTCATTAATTATGACAGTCTTGCTGTGTCAAATGGATTACAAATGGAACCACCTGTGGAGAGCTCGCAAGGTGACTGACAAAGGCTAAAAGGAGACTGGAAAGTGAAGGACAAGCATCTTCTGAACACATGCTGTTGTCAAACAAAACAAATCAGCAGAAATTAGTTAACCTGAAAGATAATTTCACCTTTTCCAAAATTCTGACTCAATGAATGCTGTGGGATGTGTTGGTATTCAATGTGTTCACTCTTGCATAGAATTCGGTTGTTGAGCACATACATTAGAATCAGCGTGGAAGTAGGTAAATTAGGAATTGAATCTGTGCTAGAAGGCATTTGGTCCCCTCCTGTAGACAACACTACTCCAGACTAAATTGAACCTAGAACCAGTTCTCCCAGACTCACACCCCTGATCTTCCAATCTGGACCCCCATATCCAGAACCGACCTGGCAGGAGAGTCAGGCAGAAGAGTTCTCAGATATCTGGCTGAAGAATACTGGGCAATTATGCCAACCTCTAGCCTAGAGATGACCTTTTAGGTTCTTCCCCAAGGGTCTCATAAAGAATTTCTGTGCTTCCAACTGGTGTCTGAAGGTTATTCTGCACAGTTTCACTCATGGCCCCATATCCTTTGTAATCTGCTCAACCTTTTGTCCAGGATTCAATGTGACATATGTAGTCCTCTCTCCTCCAATCTAATTTCTTAACTCATTATTATGTTAAGCCCTTACTCACAAATGTGAAATGTCTACTCATTACCTACTGAAGGAAGAGCAGACTTCTCCCCCTAGTATTTATTGTCCCCATCATCATCCAACATGTAATGGTCACCTATGATGTGCCAATTTCTGTGCTAGGTGCTGGGGATATCTCTCCCCGCTTTAGGTTTTGCCCTCTCAGCAGGGCAAAATTGGGTGGGAATCACCTGGGAAGCTTTTCCAAATGATACACACTTTCCCTGGCAGTGATTGTGGTGGAGCCTGCAGGGTTGGGCATGTGAATTCTGAAAAAAACTATCACACATGCTGATACACACACATGCACACACATACATTATTGGAAAGACGCAGGAATTAGTTCTTATAATATAATAATGCCGTAACAGACCCAGGTTACTACAAGGGCATATTGGATTTTCACCTAACCTAGACTTGAGTTGAAATGGGGGATTATTAGGGATGGCTTTTTAGAAAGTATCTGTGCTGAGATTTTTGGGGATGAGTAGGAGTTAGCCAAAGAAAGAGATGGTAAAAAGACAGTCTAGGTATAAGATTTTTGACATTTAAAGGCATATGGGGACATGAAAGAGCAGAACATTTTGATAAACTACAAGCACTTCAGTAGTTGGGAAAGTTGTTAGACAAGAGGCTTAAGACAGAGATAAGACAGCTAGGTGGGCTACATCATTAAGGCCCCTACAAGTCATCTTAAGAGGTTTGGGCATCCAGGAGCCACTGGAAGGTTTCAATTAGGAGGCAAATGCAGTAATCCAGGTGAGAAATGCTTAAGGTCTCACCTAAAGCCAGGGGATTGGAGAGAGGATACGAACAATTGGATGTGGTGCATAAGGGAGAGGCAGAATCAAGGATGAAACCCAGGTTCAGACTTGGCAAATGGAGTAAAGAATGGTGTCAGTCACTAAGTCAGAGAGATCAGAGGAGGAGCAGTAGACGTAGAGAACGATTGAAATGCTGATTCTCTGACCCCACCCAGACCTACTGATTCAGAAACTCTGGAGGTGGGGCCAGCAATCTGTGCTGTAACAGGCCCTCAGATGATACTGGTGCAGCTAATGTTTGAGAAGCACTGGGTTAGGCGAAGTTGTCTCTCTTTCTCTCTCTCTCTCTTTTTCTGCAATACAAATTTGCAACTGCAGTCCCATTATAAGCACTTCTCTTGACTATATCTCAGACCACAGCTTTAAACTCAGTTTATTATTTGAAAATTTCTCATTTTCATGTCCCTCTTTTCTCAACATGTCATTTATATAAGAAATATTTTATTAGCAAAAGAAATTTGAGCAATAGGGAAGTGGTATCATTGTGTCTTAAGGGATTCCAACAGCCTTACCTTTAGTAGCATCTAAGAATTAAACATTGAATGACTAAGGTTTGAACTTCTTAGTGTGGGTAAATTTCCTACTCACTCTTCTTTCACTTTCTCCTAAACTCTCCTTCCTCTCCTTTCCTTTCCCACTTTTCATTTTCACATTTAAATCTCTCCTTGCTGATAGTTTACTGAGATTGTGCACTTTGGAGAAAAGATACTATAAAAGAATTACCCACATCCAAACATTTTAAATAAAAATCAAATATTTCCCAATATGTTCAAGTGGATTATCTCAGAAAATTTAGAATGAGTGGGAAAACCTTCCATTTTGCTCACATTCTTGCAATTGAGCATTGATTGGAATCCTTCAGAAGCAGGATTGGAATCCTTCAGAAGCAGGATTCCAATCAATGTGGAAAGACATCTCTCCTCAGAGTTGAATTTGCTTCAAGCCATTCCAGGCATACTTCCACTTGGAGAATTTCAGCGTTTACTGTAGGTGTCTACTTTCTGTGGTGTAGAAAGCTGTTCTGAATTTCTGCCAAGAATTTTTAAGCTTTTATGTCACCTCAGCCCTACGTGATGGTCACACAAGCTCTGGGCTAGGCAAAGGTGTCACAAATGTGCAAAAAAGATGCCCCAAACCAGCAGTAGTCCTTAATAGGGAGCCTGCCCTTTGCTTAATGCCTGAGCACTTTCTCAACAATCTTAACACTTCTATTCACTTGTGAGTATATATGTGTGTATATATGGTACACACATACATGTATATTGTATATGAATGTGTGCATGTGTATATATGCTGTGTATGTATGTATGTATACATATATATATAAAGAAGACTGAGCAAAGAGAATTTCAATAGCATAAAAGGCTGTGTTATTGAAAGATTTTTCAATTCACTGCAATGAATACACAGATAAAAGGGTCAGTCTTGATACGAACCTCATAGTATCTGTGTATAATACCTGCTTGCTTTTAATATATATAAAAACAAGAGTAGTACTAAACATTTGACCATAGCATACATATACACATTTTCCTTTATAAATAAAACATTGTGGTAGACATTTCCTCATGTAGGAGGAACAATACACATCAGAATTGCATTTTATAATACATAAAGACCAGTTAAGTCCCTTCCCAAATCTGTTAAGTGTTTGAAGAAAGGGAAGGAGATATAGGAATTTAGGAAATAGATCTTCTAGGTCTTAAAAAAATAGAACTATGAAGATCTTTCTTCCCCATAAATATCTTTACAGTTTTGGTAACTCTGTTTCAGGGAAGCACTGAGTTCCAGGTGAACCTGAGTTTCAGTAAGTGTAGTCAGTATTCAAAGAGATACTGAAAGGTGAAATTCTTTAACCTACAGAGTCTGCTATATCTTTGCCATATCCAGTTGGGCTAAGTTCATGGATCATTTCATGGTTAAAGAAGTAAGATTCCTAAAAATGATGAGGAAGTAAGTTATCATTTCTTTCTGTGCCAAATATATTATGATTCATCTCTGAGAGACTGTCCTGAAAAAAGAGGCTAATGTTTAGTATCTGACATTGCTTTCAGTGTCTTAATTATAAAAGAATGATGTTCTATTTTTGACTCTCAAAATGTTAACATCCAGATTATAGTAAATTATTTTTTCACTATGAAAGGGGCAATAATAGGCCTGTTTTTCTCTATGTTAACGGAATTTGAGCTTTAAGAGAAGATTTTAATCTATGGAGACTGGGAGGGTGGGCTGTGTTTGATTCATCTGTTGTTCCCAGCTGAGACACCTGTTTTCTTCTCTGGCTTGGACTTGCTACTCTAGTTCTATCTAAATATATAACATCACGCAAGTGTTCCAAGGAACACTGTCAACCTTGGTGGGTGATACTAATTTACAAGTAAGTATGACACATTAGAGCCTTGGGAAGGGGAGGAAAAGCCCAAGTACTTGGATGACACTTTATGTAAGAGGACCGGAAAGCCAGGATTTATTTTCGTTCTTGATAGTTTCCTGAGTGTCCAGCCACACTAATCAAGAAAAGCAAACCCTCATCTACAAACCAGTTCTATCGAGGTGGGGCACATTCTTCACTAAATCTATCTCTTCATCTGACTTTAGATTCTGTGCCCTTCACAAGTTTCCAGCCCCTTTAAGGGTAGTGCAACTAGTCCTGCAAGAGCTTAGGTACGTAACAGTTGCCAGTGTCAACCAGCCATTTTGTCATCCCTGGCTCCAGTCTGGCCATGTCCTGCCCCAGTTGGCAGTTTCTAGGTTATTCCCTTGTCGTCCTTCACCTCTGGGACCCACAGTGGCCAGTTCTTCAACAGGGTATTTCTACCCACCATCTCCTTTGGCTCTTTTCTTTAAAAACTCAACTCATTAAACCAGATTTTCTTTACTAGCTTATTTCTTCCTCTACTTGTCATCATGCTAAAAATTTCAACCTGCAAATTATGAATTCAATAGTTGACAGTCATCTCTGAATGCTCTTATATACAGATATCTATAGGAAGTGCTGGGAAAAGACAACAGGAAATCATTGAAACTTCTTCCTAAGAAGTGAAGTAGGTGCATGGAGCCAAGATAATGGTCCCATGTAAAGGAAAACAATAATGGCTATATTAACTGAGTGCTTCCTCTATACTAGGCACTAAGCTACCCACCCCAGCTAAATATTTTTCTTAGATCATTTAATCCTCACCTAAGGTAAGTATTATTAAACCGTGTTTTACAGACAGGGAAACTGAAGCCTAGCAAGCATAAGTTACATGTTCAAAGTCACGAAACTAGTAAACTAAACTAGAAGCAAGTTTAAAAAAGAAGTCAACCTTACTCCAAAGCATGGACTCATTCTAATAAACTATGTATGTCTTCTTCCAAATGAAAGATTCCCTCCAGCAGTTTCAATTTAATTCTAACAAGTGGTTCTCAGCCTTGGGCTATTTTGCTCCTTCCCCAGGGAACATTTGGCCATATCTGGGGACAATTTTGGTTGTCACAACTGCTGGGGGAGTAGAACGGGCATCTGGTGAGTAGAGGAATACTGCTAAACATCCTGCAATGCTTGGGACAGCCCCCAACAACAAAGAATTATTTGTTCTAAAATGTCATCAGTGCTGAGGTTGAAAAACCTTGATTCAAACGACGGTGGATTTTTAAAGCTACTTTGTAAAAAGCAGGTTGTTTTGTCTGTACCTCACTCATATATACATTCTGTCCCACCACAGATGACAGCAGCCTTCTGAATCTAACTCCCTACCCCCTGGTTAGAAGACGGAAGAGAAGGTTCTTTGGGCTATGTTGTCTCGTCTCAAGCTAGGCGGCTCCTCCTGGAAACTTGTTGGGAACACCGGAAAAAAAAAAAAAAAAAATCACAAAACCTGAGGACCTCCAGACAGCTGAACCACACATTTATTGGTTTTTGACTATGTTTTCTATGCTTCCTTATTTTACCTGCTTCCCCCTGCCCTTTTAAATGATTTTACACTCGAAAGCAGCTGCCATCAAGGGAAGAAAAAAAAAAAAACAGATTAAAAAAGGCTGTTTTTAAAAAGAATTTTTAAAGCTGACATTGCACATGTCTGCTCCAAACCATGCCGTGACAGATGCAAGAATTATGATTTTTAAATTATTTAAAGGTTTTTTTAAATGTATTATACGGAGAAAAATTATTTCATGTATAATAGCATATCTATAGCTCTTACTGATCTCATGTTAACAATTTATCACATATGAAAGAAGTCTTTAAGCATAGAAATCTATTTAAAACTACAAAACTTTGTTCAAAAATCCAATCTATCAATATCGTTAGAAATAATATTATAAGCAAACATATACCACCTTACCTATTGCTTTCTCTGCATTCATTTACATTTAGTCTTCCATTCTGTCAGAATCTAAGCACTTCACCATAAAAATATCTTAATTTATAATGCAACAAACACCACATATGAAAAGTACTTAAATTTTGTAAATATATAATAATCCTAATACTTTCATATAATGCATATGGGCAGGCAACTAATTTCCTTTTGATCCAATGGTGTCTTTTTCAGCTTCTTGGAGAATGAAGTAATCCAGTTAGGAAATGGTGTAGTAACATATACATTACCCTCAAATGTAAAATTGAATATTACCACATTTTGTTCTAACTGAAATCTGAAGCATGGTGTCTGCACATCAGCATAGTGTTAAATCTTATAGGGCATGCAGGAATTAGCTCAGATCGTAAAAATATTTAACATTTTACATTGTTAATAAAATTTTTTTAGTTAAGCTAAGCTTGTCTCATTTTAGATGACTATGCAGATATGACTTTTCCAATGTGTACTTAGTGTCTTGTCTTATGCTTAGAATCTTGAAAGCAGGACACATTAAGCAATACTATATTTTAGAAAAGAGGAAACCACATGCTTTGTTTTTCTGCTCACAGCTTTGTTGTGATCTTCCTCCACTAAACTTGTAACATGGTACAAATTTTGTTATATTTTCCCCTGTTCTTCCTTTGGCCCATTTCCCAGACAGAATTTCCCATGGGTTGAGAGATCAAGTCTTCGCACTTTTTTCTTGTTTTCCACAGTCTGAGAAATCTTTGAGCCAGACAGGAGGCACCAGTGCCTAGTACAATAGAAGAATGAGCTAGATGCCTCTAAATGGTTTATCCAACCTTTATCTACCTTCATTCCAACACTACACTTTCTCAATACTTATATGCACAGGCATTTATATGTAGACCAATAATTTGATCTAAAAACTAAATGTATTAAAGCCTTTAGCTTTAGTGAAGATGAGTGGTACAGATGAACTATTGGAATAATTATTGTATCAGGCTGAATTACATGAAATTGCTGATATTTGACTGTTTTGACCTACAAAATGGCAATTTCATGTAGTTCAACTTAGTATCTGATGTTGTGGAAATTATACTTGGAATTGTCTTCTAGCCCTTTTGATTGAAAGTGAAAGAATTAAAGGGTTGGAAGAGATCTCAAAAGCTATGCAGGTCTCTATTTAGATCATACCAGCTGGCTGTTGGCCTTATTCTTGGAGTCCAGCCTTGTGTTCCAATGAACCATTAATTAGTGCATGGTTATAGATATGCCTGGCTTCACAAAAAGAACACTTGAAAAGTTATATGAGAAAATCATAATTTGCTAAATCAAATACTTGTAAAACAATTGTGGGAATATGCTATTTAAAGACTTTTAGAGTGAATACTCCCATGCAAAACAACCAACCACTCCCAGACTTACCTGATCTGCAAACCTTGATTTTCAAACATCAAGTTTGATTAAAGCTTGATATCCTTTCCTAAGTCCAGTTCATTTTCATCCCCTGAGGAGATTTCATTTAAAGTTTATTGTCTTCGAAATGAGGAAGTAGCCTAGTTTGGCAGCTCTCAGCTTCTGTGTCTGCCTTCTCCCACACTTCAACTATGTTGAACTCTAGCTTCAATCTAGTTTCTCCTAATCCATGCAAAGTTATTAACTGATAAGCCCAACCCTGGTGTTCAGCATGTTCTTCTGATGCCTGACCTAAATCACTTCTGCTTGGTTAATTGTGCTCACTCTCGCCTTAGTGTGAAAGTAACACTTACCTTATGTGCAATTGTCCTTTGTATAACTGAAGACTGTTAATAAATTCAAGTCTCACCTCCATGTCTGGGAAGGCTGTAGTAGCTATTCATGGAGATGGGAATTTGTCTAATTACCTAGCCAGACTTTCCATATCTAAGGTAATATATTCAGCCACCTTATCTTTTATTCATAGTGCCTGTTTTTCAGGCTTCTATCAGTTTTGTAGTTCCCGTGGACATACTCCAAGATTTATAGATCTTCTTTCAGTAGCATGTCTTAAAATTAAATTTAGTGCTTACAGTCCTGGTAACCTCCACTGGCTCAAGATTGCAGTAGGTTATTCACCATCTCCCATTAGATATGCCAATGCATTGTTTACGGGCTGCCCCACTCTCCTCTCACTTACCAAAGGACTTTCTCAGGTGTGGTTCCATGAGATGACGTTTTACCGTCTCGGCTTTCTGCTGGTAATTCGCTTTCAGATTAGCAATAACACTGAGCTGATCGCTAGGGGTAAGAAGAGAATAGTGAACCCATCGGTTACCCACATGGGCAACCAAATGGATTCAATAAATCAAGTTTGTGGGTCCACGTGTCCCCACATGCTTGAAACAGAAAGTATGTAAACTTTGTGGCACATACTCTCCCATTTTATCACCATATTTTTAATATCCTGTGTTGATTTTTTTTTTAGATTACAAAGAAAATACCTGTGCTTTGTGGCAAATCTGAAAAATACCACAAAATAGAAATAAAATTCACCTGAATTCCACTACAATCACATTGTTTAAAACTGCATTTCTGGGCTTTAAATCAGTCAGGGACTGGGTCCAAAGGCACTTTTGGAGAAGATAGGTGAAGAAATGCCCACAAGGCCAAGGTGTCCCTTTAAAAAATCTGTCCACTAATGTTTTGCATACATCCAGGAACAGACTCGCTGCAAACTTCTGGTCGTGCCATTATTCACGGGTACAGAGAAAGCTTGAGAAGTAGCACAGCCCTGATGCCTCCTCTAACAAATTAAAGCTCTTGGGGGAAATTCCAAAATCATGCCAGACCATTTTGTTTCTCCGTGCGCCTGTAAAAACAGACGGGATACTCAGTGTTTGGCAATACTGCCACCTGCTGAACGCTGAGCTTCAGTGGGGGCGGGGGGGAAGACACCGTGAGTATAAAAGCATCTAATTTATTTTAGAAAGCAAACGAATCGGCCAGGTTAACAATGATCCCATCTGGAATTTCAGGCTCTAAAAATCTTAACATTGAAAGGACTGAGGCTATCATCCAGCCTAACTTCCCACCTTACACACACACATACCCAAGCAATGCCTACCATTTCTTTGCGTTCTAGAATACCAAATGCAAAATGCTCAATTTCAGGTAACAATGGGTAGGATGTGAAAAAGCAATGATACTATTGGCCTCAGAATAAATCATTAAAATTAAATACACAGTCCATAATAGACCCAAGAACATAAAAGAATTGAGTACATTACAAAAATGACATTTCAAATCTATGAGAAAAGGTTGGATTATTAAGCAAAGTATATTGGGGTAACTGGTTAGACATTTTGGGGGAGAAATATTAGATCTATACCTCACAATTTTTATCGAAATAAATTCTAGATGAAGTAAAGATTTAAATGTTAAAGCATATAAATAAATATACAAAAGAACTAGCAGGCAATATGGATGAATATTTATGCAATTTTAGTATTAAAAAAAAAAAAGCCTTTCTAACAGTGACACCAAAGGAAGAAACTAGAAAGAAAAGATGGATGGATTTGACTGATTAAAAATGCAAAACTCCTATACAGTAAAAAATAACAAACCAAATTAAGAGAAAATATTTGTAATATATGCAAGAAAGACTATAGATCTCAAATATATATCAAGAGCTTAAACATCACTACTTTGAGGAAGTTTCCATGATCTACAACGCCCTTCCCAGCCAAGTGTTTCCATTGCATTCTTTCCCCGTTGAACTTTTTCATTATTGCTTGTTTAATTGTCTGTTTATCCCCACTAAACTGGAAGTACAAGGCAGCTACCATGACTGTTGTGCTTAGTGTGGTATCCACAACACCTAGCACAGTGCTAGACACAAAGCAAATTCTGAAAGCATATTTATTGAATAAGTGAATAATGAATAAAGGCCATTTTATGACTCTATTCTTTCCAATAGAAAATTGAGCCTAGGACACAAACTGGCAATGTACCATAAACTAAAATAATCCACTAATAATAAATATGAAAGTATTGGAATATATTAGTAATCAAAAATGAAAATTAATATGATAAACTCCTTTATACATATCAGAAAGGCAAAGCGTATAAAGAATTAAAGTTTCCAAGGACAAAAAGGAAGTGTGGAAATGAACATTCTCTTACAGAGTCAACAGGAGTGTAAATTGATTCCACCCTTCTGAAAAATATTTTGGCAATATATTTTTTCTGCATGCCCCAATAATTCCACTTTAGGGGAATTATCCTTTATAAGGATCAGAAAAAAATGAGCTAGGATGTATTTATTCATTATTCAAAAAGTATATGCAAGAAAAGGTGTTAATAGCTGCATTATTTAAAGGAGAGAAAAAATGTAAATAAGCCTGCATTATATAGTTGGTTAAATATGGTACATCCTTTCAATGGAATACTGTACACCAATTAAGAATAAGCACCATATGTGTATTTATTGAAATGTACACGCTATATTGTTAAATGTAAAAAAGGAAGTTACAGAAGAATATCTATAGTATGAACCCTTTTTAAAAATATTTGTATGCATGAGTGCATTAAAGAGTCTGAAAGGATACTTGCCAAAGTGTTAACAGCATTTATCTCTGGGAGGTGAGATTTGGAGCAATTATATTTTCTTTCTGCATATCTGTAATTTCTAATTTTTCCACAATGAGCATGTAGTATCTGTATAATTTTTCAGGGAATAAACAATGATGTTCACAATATATATTAAATGAAAAACACATGTTACAAAACATTATGTATAGTATGACACAATATTTGTAAAAAAGAAAATTATATATAAATATATCTATGTATGTATATATATGCATAAGAAAGCTAGAAGGACATACACTAAAATGTTAATAGTAGTTATCTATGGGTAGTGGGATTATGGATGATTATTTTTTCTTTTTGCTTTTCTGTGTTTTCTAATTTTTCTACACTGAACATGTATTACTTGTGTAATAAAAACTAATAATAAAAGTTTTAAAAAATGAAAGTAAGAGAAAGATTTTGACTCACCTCTTGTCCTCCTCCTCCCTCCCACCCCACCTGCATCCCCCACTCGGCTTATTCTTTGTCAAAATGAGGGCAGTGGGGTGTGGAGAGGAAACAGCACAGCAGGGCACCACAGCTTTGAAGATAGAAGAGAGTGAGAGAGACACAGACTAAGAGGGTTGAGGAGGAAAGAAAGAGGAAGGGAGGGAGGGGAAAAGAAGGTAAGAGAGTAAGAAAGAAACTCTTAAGTGAAGTCAGTGGAGGAAAGATTGAAACAGGCTTTGAAAATTTTTTCACCAACAATAGCAATATCTCTAAACTTAGCTCAAGTTTTCTGCTAGCTTCAGCAAGAAAAAGAAATATATTGAGTTAAATAATTTTCTTTTCTAACAAAAGGATGCACACATGCACACACACATTTGGAGAGACATCCAGGAATTAAATTCTAACGGGAATGTATCCCAAGAAGTTTTCTGAGGGGCAAACTGTTGCAATCCAGCTAGGTGACAAGAGCCATGCAGGGCAGCTTGGAGTTCACAGACCTTTGTCTGAATCTCAGACATGCTGTGACCAAGTACACAACTGTAGCTAGCAGTTCCAATATCCATTCTCTCTTTTTTTCCTTTAGTATTAATAATAGAGACCCCAAATTTCATCAAGGCACTAGTCACCTAAAGTAAAGACTCCATTTCCCAGGTTCCCTTGGATGTGAGTGTGGCTATATAACTGCATTTTGGCCAATAGGCTGTGAGTGGAAGTGTGCGATGTCCAGGTAACACCCTTTACATAAGGGGCATGCGTTCCCATGCTCTTTTCTTCCCTCTGCGCTGCAATGAGAACGTGAGAATACGAGCTCAAGCAACTCTATTGAATCCAGAAATGGACACCACCTGAGGATGGCAGAAGTTCCCTATGTCAACCTAAAATAACCAAAAGGTCAGAATCTAATACAAGGAGAGTTCATTCAAGCACAAAGTGTGAGGATGGACCACCCAGAAACACCATCTCCAAAGGAATGAACTCAGCGTTTTGAACTCAGGGAAGTTAAGATTTCATTTATATGGGCAAAGATAGAAGACTTTTTAGCAGGATTACAACATTTTTCATGCAAGGTTGGCACAGTTACAGCAATTTGGTTATAGGCAGTGTTCCTTTCTGGGAAGGGTACATTTAACATTTTTTTTTTTTTTTTTTTGCAGAGGATGTAATAATCATGGATTTTCTGTCATCTGGTCTAAGCAAAGCAGGACAAAAAAGGGGAAGTTAATCTATAACAAGGGTCATTAATTAAGAAGAAAGGAGGTTTTGTCCCTGATGTCATCTGATTCTTTCTAGTCCTTGTACAGAACAAGAAAAATTAAAAAAGCAAGTTAATCTATAATCTGAGAACAGACTTTGTAACCATATGTGACTCAGATCATAGCCACATCTCTCTCAAGGCTTAACCTCTGTTTTTCGGGGTTTCAATAGCCTTTAAATTTTATTTATTTTCACAAGCATCATCCCTGAGCCACCTATCTCCATACTATCGCCTATGAAAATAAATAAATTCTGTTAATATCTTGTTTAAGGCATTAATAAGGTGACTTTTTGTACAGAAGAACCTGTTGACTAAACTGATTAACTTTTCTATGCCTCAGGTTCCTCAGAGCAAAATGAGGATAATAATACCAATATCATAAGAAGTTCAACCAAATAATTGTCTAATTACTTCCTTAGAACTTGAGAAAAACCAAACAACTGAAACAGTGCATGATACTACGTTAGAGAACATTGGGGAAAGAAAAATCTCTTAAATAGCATTTTTAAATTAAATGATCAATTGATTCCAACATGGAAAAAAATTAAATTAAACTTGACCCCTGTCTCATACCATAACAAAAATCAATTCCAAATTGATTACTGATATAAAGTTAAAAAGTAAGACAATAAAGCTTCCAGAAGATAATAGGGGAATATCTTCGCACCCACAGAGTTGTGAAATAGTTCCTAATAGGACATAAACCACTTTGGAAAACTGTTTAACATTATCTACTGTCCTAGAACATATGTGTACTCTATGATCTAATAATTTTACTCCCAGGTAGAGATCCAACAGAAATATATATGTATGTATGCAGACAGGTAAAAGAATATCCCTAGTGGTATTATTTGTAGTAGTCAA